ACCCACGACCCACGACCATTAGTCAAACTCTCCATTTTTCTTTTAAACCGACCCATGACTGTGAAGTATCACTGCGGGAAGTGCAACCGTCAATAGAATTCAGTTGCAACTTCTTTTAACGAAAAACAAATTACCACTTGAAACCATTCGCAAAGAAATAATAGACGTTTTATTAGCTTCAGGCGTCAAAGATTGGTCTTGTGGTCTGGAATGAGTAACTAACAGTCGCGGCTATAGCAAAGTAACTGCAAAGTGTAGAGAATAGTCCACTTTCGCTGCGTCTGTAACCACCACAATGTTTCCAAGAATTCGATTTGTCTTTTCATAAATACCCTGACGATTCTAAACTTCAGGAGCCAGTTGTATTAAGGGCGGATAACGCTAATTTATCCGACTGATAAATGGCTATCCAGCGGATAAGCGATAGCAAAACGTTGAGATCTTCTTTTAAAACACTTTAGCTTATTCTTTGAAAGTCTCTTGCATTTGAACATTTCTACCGTAAATCTTAAAACAGAAACTGAACCGAAGGTATTCGATGACTGAAAAACGCATCAATTCCTTCTTGTCTAGTTAACAAAAAGGGTCTCATTTGACTTCAGTTCTTGGTGGAAGAAAGACAAGATGTACACCCGCCATCGCAGAAAACAAACAAGCAGCCTCTCACAACTCCACTGACGCACACTTGCATTCACTTACGATTTGACTTTCCGTGACGTTTTAAACTGAACAAAGGCAAATCCTCAAAAACTAATCGTCTTTGGAAACAAACAGTTCTTTTCTGTAAGAGTACATCGTCGCGCACTATGGTAATTTAAATTAACTCCTGTGTGTTTGCCATGCCAGAACTGTTGCTCATTCACAAGCGAAAATGCGTTTTTCCTCTCTATTAACATGTGTCTGATCGCAACAAATACTGATTAACAATTGTTTTTTAAAGTTTGACTGAAAGCCTTTTAAGTTACCTTTACAGCTGCGTTAAATAAAAGTGTTTCGGTGAAGCCTTTCATCTATTTTCTTTATCATCTACTTGCTTAAAAATTGTTTAGTTAATGGAGGATCTTCCCGTAATTAGACTCGTAATTTTATCTCTAAACTATTCGGGTTCTTGTGGCAAGCATATAGTTGAGTGTTAGAAAAAGAATAAAATTGTTATTCACCAGGCTAGACGAGTCTGTATTGGGAAAAACTGTGCCTTTTGTCTTGAGTACCGGTATCCGACACCTCGGGTACAGTTTTTCACAATACGGGCTTCCCGGCTGGTGAATATTGAATGTGTACATGAACAGCTGACACGTTTTTTAATGAAAGGACATTTATTGTGACAAGAACGGTTTTAAGTCGCCCGGTATTAATTTAAAATGTCTAATCTAACTATATGAACACCTTGAGTAAAATTACCATGACATACACATAGCTCTTTTACTGTTGTTATTTTTTGTCATTGCCAAAAGTTGTGCTCTTCTTCTCTGAAACGCTGATTCCGATCTTTTCCGATAACACTAATCATGACTGACATGTCGACTGTGAACGAAAGCCTGAAAAATGCGTCCGAATCCCCAAAACGTTTTTCTTCCAAGGCAGAAGGAATTGCATTATGCAGCGCCTTTATGTTATCGTCTGTCCTAATTATTTCAGGAAACTTGCTCACTCTCGTTATCTTTGCAGTTACCAAACAACTTCGCAGGAAAAGTTTTTTCTTAGTTATGAACATGGCATTCGCCGATTTGATGTTAATAACCTTCTCCGTACCCATTTATATTTAATATGTTGGTGAATTCTATCAACATTGGACAGCATATTACGGCTTTCATCTGGTCTTCAGATTCACCGATTCCATTTTTGTGTTCGGCTCATATCTATCTGCAGTCTATATATCCTGTGAGGGATTTTACGCTGTATACTGGCTGTTTAAACATCGATCACTGTCAACGAGAACATACCGCATCGCCATTTTCATACTTTGGACACTTGCTATCTTGCTGTCTATAATACTAAATTTTTTAACTGTTTTAAATTCATTTCAAACTGCTTTATACGTGGGACTCCCCGTTATGTTGTGTCTAGCAATTATTTTGTGTGTCTTTAACACTGGAATCTGGAGAAAGGCTGAAAGCTGAAGCCGATGATAGAAGAGCTAAGAGAAAAGCAGCAATGAACAAAGCATCGTGTGTTCCAGTGGCATGTGTCTTCGTGTGCAGTTTATGCGGCTGTGTCTGCCGTTCTAGAATTGGGCTTTTTAGCCACGAAAGAAAGTGTTTGTCGCAATTGCGCTAGTCTTGGACATGGTCCGATGACTGCCTACTACTACTACCACTACTACTTTAACATTGGAATCTGGAGAAATTTTCAAGAGGGAAGTGTTCCTTCACAACAACAAAAGAGAACCTCCCGCACCAAACGCTTAACAAAGACCGTTTTTTTTGTATCCATGTTAGCTTTGATAAGTTGGCTTCCCTTACTTATCATAAACTTTTTAAACTTTATAATTAAGGAATTATCACCATCGAAGGTTTATTTAGTGGTGAACATTTTAAATTATTCAAACCGCCTCCCGGTTAGCTCAATTGGTTAGAGCGCCGGATTGTGTTGTGAGGGAGATCGAGGGTTCGAGCCCCGGCCGGACCAATACTCATGGTCATGAAGCCACTGAGTGCGGAAGTGATGTCTCGTAGACGGAAAATGATTGGTCATATTCCTAGGTAAGATCGTAATAATGATTGCAATATTGCTATGAACTGGGCGCCAGAAGGTAAAAGGAGAAGGGGAAGACCAAAAACCACTCGGAGACGTACAGTAGAGAAAGAAAGGCAAGAGGCAGGTTGGAGGTCGTGGGAGGAGGTGCGGACAGCAGCAACCAATCGATAGGAGTAAAAAGCTCTGTGAAGGCCCTATGTGTCACGAGGCATGAAAAGGATTGATGATGATACGGTTGCGAATTATTGACATTTGTGACAGGCTGTACGCATGAATGAATATTTGATTTATCTGCATTTAGTGGGTTTTGACTGTTTTTCAATTAGCGCACGGAAGAAAATTTAGTGGTGAACAATAGAGACAATACAGTGTTTATGTCTCGGAACTAACAGTCTGATAGTTGCCCCTTGGAAATTTGATCTTCTTAAAACTAGCAGACTTGTTTTAAAAACATCAAATTTCCGGGGGGTAACTATTAGCCGATAGTTTCTTGACAGAAACATTCTATTGTTTAATTATTTACTCTGTGTTTCAAAAGCATGTTTGATCGCAATATATATTACCCTGTATCTACAAATGTACATCTTACAGGTTTCTCTAAAGGCAAAAAAAACAAAACAAAACAAGGATTCGTAAGCGTGCTCTCGTAATTGGAGAGTAAAACAATTTAAAAGTGATCTAGAGTCTGTCGTTTTATGTCATTCCACTCAAACATTTTCATAACGCGAATTTTATGCATAATTTGTTTGTTTTGTGACTTTCGGCGTGTAGCAAATGGAACCACATTTAGAAAGCATACATAGCATTTTAGATAACATACATAGTGAGATTTACTTAGGACGCGAACTGCGTCACTCGATACTACATGTGTCATCAGCTGATAATTCAGCGTGTAGCGTTGTAAATTCCATTGAAGATTATTATCATTTAGTTTTAATATTAAATATTAGTATCGTAGGCCTTCACAGATGAAGAGCCACACCTTTTATGTGGATATACTGTAAATAAACCGCTATTATTATTATTATTATTATTATTATTATTATTATTATTATTATTATCATTATTATTATTATTAAATGCATGAATAATTGTCATGTTTTTTTCGACGAACAGATGGTTTTGTGACATGGTTACTACGTTGTAAATTATTAGTTCGAAATTTATGGTTTACTTCAATTACATGAAAACGTTGAATAAAACTAACATGACATGTAAACAACTTTTCAGCTGTTGTTGCTTCGTGTTGTTAGAGAGCGTTTGACGGTTCCTCTCCTTTGTAACGCCGCATCTTTCCCGACAAAACTGTTCTTCCTAAATCCCTCATTTATAAGTTTACAATGTTTAACATCTCGCCAGTGAACGAAAGCCTGAAGAATGTGTCCGAATTCGCAGGAAGTATTCCTTCTAAGGCAGAAGGCATCGCATTGTGCAGTGCCTTCATATTATCATCTGTCTTTATCATTGCAGGAAACTTTCTCACTCTCGTTCTCTTTGCAGTTAGCAAAGCACTTCGTAAGAAAAGTTTCTTCCTAATCACGAATATGGCGTTCGCTGATCTGATGCTGGGAGCCTTTACCATGCCCTCTTACATTTACTCAGTCGGAGTATTCTTTCAGCTTTGGACAGCAAAATATGATCATTTGACATTTGGAATATTCTTCACAGGTTTTGATACCATGTTTATGCTCGGCTCGTATCTATCTGCAGCCTTTATGTCCTGCGAGAGATTCCATGCCGTATATTGGCCGTTTAACCACCGATCATTATCCACCAGAACATACCGCATCGTCATTTGTATACTTTGGACACTTGCTGTGTTTGTTTCCACGATAGTAACTTTGTTGACGTTTTTTATTTCATTTGAATCTAGTTTGTATTTTTATACTCCCGTTGTGTTGAGTCTAACAATCATTATGTGTGTCTCAAACATCGGAATCTGGAAAAATCTTCAACACCAAAGAGTTACCTCACATCATCAAAACAGAGCTCTGCAAAGGAAACGCTTAACAAAGACTTTACTTTTTGTATCCATGCTAGCTTTTCTATGTTGGCTTCCCTTACTTATCATGAACGTTTTAAAATATCTAACAAAGACAACAATACCATGGATGTTTTATTTGATGGTGAACATTTTGAATTATTCAAACTCTATTGTCAATCCAGTTGTGTATGCACTGAGAATTCCTGAGTTTCAGCAAGCGTTGAGTAAAACTCTTTGTAGCCTATTTAGAAGTACTGAATTTCAGGAGGCGCTTCATTTGCAATCAGCAATGAAGATGGGACAAATCGAAAGAAGAAACCGATCGGCTGCACTCAAAACGCCGGAGATAGAGCTAAGAATAAAAAAAATCAATCCTAGTCGCCTACAAGAAGAGATTGAACAAGGAGATATAGAAACTCAGTTTTAATTACTGAGTAGTGAGGTACAAATTTTCAAAAACTGAAAGTTTTAGAATGTAGAGGCTTAATCAAAATGATGGCTACAAAACTCTCCTTCCATTCAATGACTTTATCTTGATTCGGAGAAGAGCCATTGTTAGAAAATAGGACAATTTTCTATTTGTTTTCATGGCTTTGCTAAAGTCGAACGTTTTTGTGTAGAGATACCTTCCCTCTTGGTACATACAAATTAAGTCTGAATTTTATGCAGGGATGAAAATATGCTATATTATTTATCCAACACTGTATAATATCTTTTCATTTCACAAACGATTTAAAATCTTCCTCGTTATAATAATTGTAGCCCTAAAGTTATTGTTTAGAACTTCCCAGTCGCCTTCTCAAGGACACTATTTTCTGGCCACTTAAGACATTATGTAAAAAAAGTGAAACAGAATAAAGACGAGTGTTCAGCTATCACCGCCTCGGAACCAAAATTAGTTTCCCATTATTCTTTGTTCTTTTTTTGAATATAGTTTTGAAAATTTTAAATTAAAACTAATTCTCATCACGAATGTTTTTTTCTAAAATTAAATTTAAATTCAGCTTAAACGTTAGTAAGAAATAACTCTCCGTTTAAAGCAAAAGCGACACTTTGATAAACCCGTTCACCATGTTGACATTTGTTAAGTGCACGTGCAATGAGATAGATGTCAGGTCTATGAACGACACAGTTAAATTAGCAGAATGAATCGTGCTGATAGGCAATCAATTATTCCAACTGAAGTGGAGAATGGGAAAACGAGTTTCTCTTTATCAAAACACTGACTTTCATTCAAGCCCAAGTCAGCTAATTTTTTCTGTACCCATACTGGCTTTACTATGTTGGCTTCCCTTGATCATCATGAAAGTTTTAATTTACATAGCTGAGAGACAAATACCACGGAAGTTTACATTTCATTGCAAACATTCTAAATTATTCTCGTTCTTTTGTCAGTCCCGTTGTGAATGCAATTAAATTTTCTCAGTTAAAGCAAGCGCTACGTTAGTGCTGTACGAAGAGGAGAGCAAGCAATCAGGCGGAACAAATCGAAAAAAGAAACCAAACGGCTTGCACCTTGAGGGCCGGAGATAAAGCTAAGAATACTAGGCATCCATCTCAGTCGCCTGGAAACAGAATTTGAAGAGAAACATTTTTTGTCAGCTGACACATGAGAACAACAAGAACGTAAAAGCAGCTGTAAAGCTATTTCTATGTCAAGGTAATTTCATTCAATGTTCTCGTGCAATTGAGGTAGACAATACATATTGAACCAATAATTCACCAAGTAGTAATCGTCATGTCACGAAAATGTCCATAAATCTCCATAGAATCGCTTTGAAGTACCTGGACGATATATAATAGTTTGGATTGTATGGTTTGGCTCAATTTCCTAAATCTTAGTAAAATTTAAACTCTCGGTCATTTCGTTATTTAAGGACCGTGACTGAAACAATAGTTTACCTTTGAAATCGGCTGTCTTAATCCCGCTACTCATTCAACTAATCTAGTCTTGTTTTTCTCGTTACCGTGTTCCCACCAATAGCGTAGCTCCATTTCTGCCTCTATACAAACACACACACAACCCTTGGTTCCTCCTTTATTGTATCCTTCTCGCTTGCCGTGCTCTTAGCTACCTTGTCGTACACAACAGAATTCGTCTATTCGCTAGAGTATTTATTATCACGAAATGTTTGGACTGGTACGAATCGACCAACAGGTTGAATATGGTCCAACACCAACTAGGTAGAGATCTTCTTACTTTGGTTACGAACCGGCTGAGTACAAAACGTTCGTGAGTACAAAACGACTGGTGGTATGCAACGGCATATAGATTCTGTCGGCAGTTTGCAAATAAATGTAGCGGAGTTATAGAATAAATTGGCGATTGAATTGTCTGTTCGACCTGAAACATGGATTAAAAAAAAGTCCAACTTACTAAACATGCTCAACGAAGACAAAAAAATTGTGATATATACGAAAACAGTGGATAACGTTGACAGTGCACTCTGAGGGGCTGCTCATACTCCAAATATGGCTATTCACCTCCGAGTAAATCGAGAGTGATTTGCGCCCCGAAATATTTTAATCGTTGCAGGAATAACTGAATGAAAACGATCTTTTCATGGTAGATTATCCCACTGTCTAGTGGGATACAGTCTCCTGTGAGCTCCGGCCGGGCGACCGCGACTTTTAAGCTTCTTATATATTATCTAATATTTTACCATTTAGTTACATATCTGCTATTTGATGGCTCTCAAATTATTTCTAATGGGGCCCGAGACGTTGCTAGCGAAAATGGTGTCTCCATGGAACGAGTTATTCCAAGCAAGTTGCTCGTTTTGGTTTTCTTCGTCACTAGCTTTCATTCTAAGATCTACTCTAATAAGCCGAGGTCCAAAAGATGCAGTTCAAAATGGCTTATGCACGGCCTCCTGCTTCTTCTGGATTTTCTTAGGGATTTGACAATCTCCATGGGTGTGGAGTCTAACCCAGGAGATATAACTTTCAATTCTGAAGAAGGCTTGCGGAGAAATCAAACCTGCATAATTTCATCTGCAGGCGGTTGTGCAAGTACCCAAAACGCAGAACCGATTGTGTATTCTTCCCAATATCTATTCTCCTTGAAGAGATGCGCATCAATGCTGTCATGGGATGTCAAGAACCGTCTCTCCGACTTGGGAATAGTGAGGCGTAAACGTGGGGTTCGAACTGGAAAACGAATTAGAGACCGGCATTATAATCTTCACCCAATATTTTCAAGAATTATTTAACGTTCTGCTGAAAATGACAACAAAAGACTTACTCACAGGCACGTCGACGGGTCTGTTCTTAAGAGGATTCCCTACCAGAAAAGCTATAGGATCTCTCTCATCTTAACTGCGAATCTACGACCCCTCAGCAATAAGGTCGATGACCTGCAATGTGTCGCAGAATGTAACAATGCCGACACTGTCTGTATTTCAGAGTCAAGGCTGTTGCCGCAAATTCCAAACTCTGCGGTGGCTATACCGGGGTATAACCTTTTTAGAACGATTGTACGTCTGCACCTGGTGGAGGGGTCTGTTTTTAGTTGAGACAAACCTTACCATGCACTCGATTATCCCAGTGTGACATAATATGAAAATAAACCCAAAAAAATGCAAAGAAATGTTAATTAACTTCATGCAAAATGAAAATTTTACTACAATACCAATTGTCCTAGGTAACAACACCGTCGAATGTGTAACAAATTATAAATTACTCGGTACTATGATCACTAATGATTTAAAGTGGAACAAGTATATTGATTACATATCAAAAAAAGCTTCGAAACGCCTTTTTTCCCTGAGGGTTCTTAGAAACGGTGGGTGTTAAAAGAGAGGGAATTCTCAAATTTTATTTGACAAACAATAAGACCTATACTAGAATATGGCGTACAAGTCTGGCAAGACATTCCTGAATTTCTTTCAAATAAGCTGGAGTCCATTCAATAAGGGAGTCCATTCAATAAGGGCACTACATACTATCTACCCGTTTCATAGTTACTTAGATTCCCTTAATGCTACCAACCTTAGCAGCTTGAAAGAAAGATGAACTCAGCTTTGCTGTAAATATATTCAGAAGATGACGCAAAAAGACCACCCCATTAACTTCCTCAAGTCGAAAACAGCATCTAGTGGTCACATTTACAACTTGCGGGCCAGCGACAACAATAGAAATATTGTTTACGCTGATAGGAGTTGTTGCCGAACCCAGGCTCCAGGTTCCTGTTTTTCATTCGCTAGTAAATATGCGAATTTGTAAATAATTATTTATGATATTTTTATTGCCTTTATAGCAGTAGCAGTGTTAATTAAAAGCTGAGTATTAATTTATGGCCTTTTTAATTCAGGTATATTATTATCCATTATTAATTATTATTATTATTATTATTATTATTATTATTATTATTATTATTATCAAACACTGAAACAACTCAGCGTTTGTGATTAGTGGTGAAAATTTACTCTGCAGCTTCCACCACTAGCCACCTCCATTTAACTAAAAAGTTGTTAACTGTGAAATACAGATCATATGTGTCGTACATAATACAATTCTGCTCAATCAATACTAATATCAAATGGACTAACTTCAACACGAGCTCAACTCACTTTGAGTGATGACATTCAAATATATCATCGTTCTAACTAAATGAAAGCAACGCCCCAGTCACAACATTTCATCCTAAACGAATCGTGCTGTAGTTCTGTCATGGCGTAACTAATTAGAAAATACGGGGCAGTTACTTTGGTTTACGCTTGCACCAAGTTGTGAGTAAAAGTAGAGAGCACAGACCACAATTTAGCAGAGTGAGGATAGAAATGTAACTCAATGGTCGGCAAGGACGCCCTTAATTTTAACTCACAGTTCTCAGACAAAAAAATGACAAGTAATAACAACCTTTTTTCTTTTAATTTTTTTGTCGACAGGTATTTACACTAGTGAGCTGAGCTATCAAATCTAACAGAGGACAAAATAGGCTTTACAGAAAAAGTATTTTGTTTCCTAAAATACATTTATTATAAAATCATCCAAAGAAAACTGTAAAACATTTTCATAACTTATCAAACAACTTGTGACTTTGAAACAGCCTAGCTAGGCTTGAATGGAGTGAAATTAGAAGATTACGTTTAATAAAAGCTATTTCTTATTTTGTGGGCAAGACATCCAGATAATTTCACCGATAAAGAACAAATACAAAATCAATTACAATTTTTTTTTCAAACTGTACCCAAAATCGTAAAAATTGATCCAGATTATTGAAAAATGTTTTTCTCACCAAGTACTTACACAATGGAAGCAAGCTATACCTCATTTAAAACAGCCGTAAATAAGCTTTCTTGGAATTCATGTTTCCTCTTCAAGAAAAAAACTAGAACCTCAATAAATGGCCTCAAGTTAGCATAAATTAACATACAATATCATCAAAATTTGAACGGTCATTGAAGTGATATCTAAATGATATAA